AAGCTCACTCAAACATCAATCTTTTCTAGTAATATCAATGTCAATCAAATGAAAGGGCGAATGAATACAAGCAAACGATCATGTCAAGAGGGGATTAATAAACTTGTAAACCAACAATTACGATATCAAAAATAAGCTCAAGAATTTGACGAGACTCCAACCCATTTACATGTTCAGATACTAAACAACGTTCCCCTAACAAATGTTGACTAAGCATGAAGAATTTGAAGAATGTGTACACAGATTAAAAAGACAAGCGAATGGCTAGCCCTGAATAGAAGTGAGATGTGACCATGCGATTTCGCAACAGGGGAGTAAGTGATTATTAGAATGGGGTGGTCGAAAAAGTTAGGTCAAGGAAAGAAGGTGGAGAATGAAGTTTGTGCGAATATTGTCCACCTTATCCCTCTTGTATAATACAAATTAAAGCTGACTAAATGAATGCACAGGACTGAAAAGAGATGAGAGATTAAGGCGACGTCGACGAGTTCAGAACAAACAAGACTGAGTCACAATTTCAACCGCGCTAGAAGCGAGCTACAGCGACGAAGAGGCAGGTGCTTAAGTAGGCAGATTGATGAACGATGAAGAGCGCAATAAGGCGAAAATTGGACGCACTTATGCGCGCGCGCGGTCTACTCTCATACAAACCTAACAGCGCATCGCCATTTCGAATGACAACTAAGCACGCAGACTTGAGTAGTAGGAACGCATGGCTTAACACAATTTGTAAAGTTTCAGTCTAGCGGCAGTGTGCATCGATATGTTAGCAAAAGCGAAACACTTTCGTGCTGTAAAAAAAGTAATCTGTGCTATTTAAAGCAAGTTCGATGATGCGCAAACTCAAGAGCGCTCAGGGACGTGTTATGGGCGCAAGTGGCAAGACAAGCAGTTGGACGAAACGTCCAGAGACAAAGAGGGTACAACTCTGTGTGTGCCTTTTACAACCTTAATGGCACAATTTACAACATCTTAACGTATCTATTCGGGTCTAAAAGAAGCTGCTTGTGATTGAATTGATAGCATATTGCGATATGGAGAACACAAAACTGTTCATTTGCTTAAGTTATTCCTACAAATTAACAAAGTGAGTTATTTAGAGCACAAGGATACACGGAGGTTTTTTTCACAAAACTTCTGACAACTATGAGTAACCCTAGGAAAGTAAGATTGACATAACACATCCAACAGTGATGTGAAACATGCATATAGACATAATTCTTACGAAGTAGTTATGAGAAAGTGTGGTATTCCATTACCGTATGGATGCGTACAAACAGAGGGGGAAGCAGCTACAAGCTCCTACAAGTTTCACCACATTTTACTTCATACTAGCATTGTTACCCATGATAACCGCAGCACAAGAGTCCATTAATGTGCGAAGGACATAAAGGGGTCGAGTAGAAGTAGGAGAATTTTGCACCAATTACGGCGTTTTCTTATTAACATTGATCGGGTTCTCAGGGTTCCGAGCGATTTCAAGTTCGCAAGGTTAAGAGTTTTTTTGACTAGTTAATTGAATTGAAGGGTTTGTCATGGCATTGTAATATGTTAGACTCTTTTGAGGAATATCTAGTTAGCAAGAACTGACATGCTCTAAAATAGTGAATCTCAATTAAGTTCACTCCTAAAAAACAGAAGGCAAAAGCCAATATATTTACGTCCTTATGAAATACATTAGCTGAAGTTTCAGAGGCCAACCCGCACTATAGATGTTAAATATGAAGGCCACGAACAACAAACCGATATACCTACCTTATGCAGTATAAGTTAATTGACAATAGTTCATGAGAGAATTAAAGCGATAAGCATTATCTCCATTAATAGTGGGAAGAAAACTAAAATAGTTATTTGATCAAGAAAAAAATTGTTAATAAAAGTTACAATTACATCTGCACATTGACAGAAGGTTTATCACAAAATAGCATGCAAAAGAAATAAGATAGAGCCTTGCTTTAAGCAAGTCATATCCGTAATATAAAATATTAAAGACCTTAGATGAGGGCGTTTGTATAGGAAAGAACTTTATTTCAGAAAGGATTTGAACACAATTAAGACACTTGCATTCTTAGAGAGGCTTGATCTCGTTCAAGATGAATTTACAGGGATAAAAACCTGACTTTAGGACGTATATTCCAAATTCCACTTTCTCCTTCTCGGTAAGCGTATTACTGAAAACTAATTATTATCTCTCTTCGAAATCATACCTTTGAAACGAATTAATCAAAATAATCTCTTAAACTGCCAATGGGAGATCGGCTCCTGCATTCTACCAATTCACTCTTTAGTGGGGTTTGAACCTTGAAAAGCTATTTAAGCGTAAAAACTAAGTCATTTGCCAAGCTAATGTCTGATTGAATTAACAAGGAGGTAAGTTTACTACTTACGATTACAAGTGATTGTTCAGGACTCAGCAGGATCGAGATGGCAAAATTACGTTCAACACATAAGCACAGTTGCGTGCAAGTTAGGCGTAACTGCGAACTGTTATTCGTGTGAAAATCATTTGGTCAGTGCTTATAAGTACTCCAACCTAGAATGAACTGAACCAGCACTTTACTGCATGCCACCGTGCGCATACAAAACTGCATTCATGGCTTAGCATTTTTGCTTGATGAGTTAATTTCAGGAGTTCTCAAATATTTATGCAATACTACGACGGTTCTACGAATAAAAGCTTGGGAATATATTTAATAAGTCGTTCAAAGAAATTAGCCTAGATATAAGAGCAATTACATTTAAGTTAGGTTAGAATCCAAACCTGAAAATTCCGTCAAATAAATCATTTAGGCCCAATCCAACGAATGCATATATAGAATGGGGCGTAGTTATTTAGATTGTAAGAAAAGTGTAACCATACCATTCATTTTTTATCGTCAGGTTCATTTTTCAGTGGGCTAAATAAACAGGACAATTCCTTTCCCCAATACCACCGCATTTGTAATCCATAGGAGAGGTCAGTTCTAAATACCAAGGTAGGAATGCCGAACTGCTGATAGTTAAGCATAACATAAGAACGCACTAAGTAGGGGACTGTCTCAAAAGTAAAATTCGTAGTCAGCTGTGATACGGTTCTGATTGTAAGCAGGACAAAAGTGGGCACACTATGACTGCAGAGAAAGAAAATATAAGGTGATAAAGACCCCTAACAAACGCGCTGACCTATTTTGTATTCTAATACTATTTGAAAAAAGGGGAAAAAGAGAGTATTTCTGAATCACATGAGCTAAGCTCAGAGACTATTTCTCGCGCACCAGTACATAGCCTTTCTACCTTCATGATCGGATATGTGGTCATATCACCAGAAAGTTAAACAATCTCGTATACTCAATTTATATTAAACCGCCGTTTGAATTGCAAGTTTTATTACCTTCATTCCACAGCGCGCGACCCACTGCAGACAGTACTATCATAGTGGGCATTAAGTAACATTCCATTGGTAACCAAGGTTTTTTATCTGAGACTGTGTTGCTAATGTGTTAATTCAAGTCAGCCAATTCAAAAAGCGGATAAAATAGCCACCTTGAGTGTTGAAAAAGGCCAAAACCGACTACAATCAAGAATCAACATTAAAGAGAAAAATTTACAAGAACTACCAAAATAAGGCATTAATAAAGGGCTGCAACAAAGTCAGTAGAGTAGATTTTTAGAAAATCCAAGGCTTTCACTCTTGTAGATAAATAACTTTTGTTAATTATTTCATTAATAACAGTGCAATTGAATAAAAGGACTCGAGACTTTAGATCTTCACAAAAGTAATTGATGATTTTCACATGTAACTCATATAATTAACAGTGTCTATCTTGAGACCCATCAATTTAGTAGAAATATTTTGGTCTGTGTAGACTTTCACGTCTACAAACAAATCAGTAAAACTGCTTCAGAGACTTTAGAAAAGACGCTCGTTTTATGCAATAGAAAGAAATCATGGAAAAGTGGATGTAAAGAGTAAAGATTTAGCAAATATCTTGTGAGTTCACTGCCGGACATGCGTATCGGAGATAAATATCAAGAAATCGCAAGGAAAAAGGAACAACATGTGAGTTAAACCATTTTATGAAACTATGTGACAACAAATTTTGTTTCTTTCAAACAGCTGCAATTATCAATAACGGAAATCGAGCCTTTTGAATTCTGAACTCAAAAAAAATTCAACTTGAATTCCTATTTAAGGCGCTAAAATTTATAAAGGTGGTAACGGTTAAAATGACCTAACAATATTATCCGTGACCAACTAAAGATAAGAGAAATCTAGTAAGATGGTAAATGCACCATTAAGATGCCAGAATTTTTATCCCATCTTCCGCAGTGCTATAACGGTAACTGTAGAGTTAAAGAATGAGCAAAGTACAGATCTGGTTGAGGAACTAAAGAATTACTGGTGAAAAAGCCATTCAAACCTCAGCAACGAATTACATGAAGCGTAATAATTCCTCAAAACACAGTTGATACAACTTTAAACACTTGGTAAATCATAACCCGATGATGAAGAATGATGTGACTGCAAAAACATCTCACTCTGAATATTCAAACGTGGGCAATAACAACCTAGGGCAACCAATCATTGACGAGTAGACGTGATTGACGTTCATATTGCTTAACATTTTGATCAATAAACTGCTCTGACTTCCTGCTACCTCTGAACTATTCCAACTATATCAGTGATCATTTAAATGTTAATCGAGAATCTGGATGCCAGGCAAATTGTATTATCTTAAAAATAAATGTGAAGGAAAAAATATAGGAAAGCAAATAAGGCCTTCTAAATATAAATATTTTAATAACAACAATCGAATCGATAATCAATCTCGATGAATTAAATAAAAAAATGGTTCCAATTGATTGTTAACCAAGTCTGATCTACCAGCCACAAAAAATACCAATAAAATTGTCTCTCACCGTAGGGCCATTTTCCACAAACAGCCCATCAGCATATCAGATTAAAATTATCATTAAACTAGTTTGTATTAGACTGAAAAGTAGTTAATCTTCGAATATACCTTTCCAGGTAGACATTTGAAAGAGTGATCGAAATGCATGACAAGAGGATCATAGAAGATAAAATGAGATATTGAGAAATCATAAAATACATTAATGTCCTTCTCATCCAAGATGAATTGAACTAAAGGGAATACGAATGAGTAGAAATTAATAAAACAGTAACTGCAAGAGATTAACAATAACTTACTGGAAGCAAGGTCCAGTTTCCGTGACACAGAAGAACGGGTTCGCACAAAATTAACACCCGAAGCTGGAGGAGGAAGAGTGCTACCTCCAGCGTTAGCCATCGGTGTGGATGTGGTCGCAGAATTCTTAGCAAGTCCATTTCCATTAGCAGAAGAAACTGAGTGAGTAGAAGGCATTTTGGTATCATTATTTTGCTGAGCCCAACAAAAAACGCAAGTGGCCAAATGGTGTCCATAGTGGGAGTGATGCTGGTGACTGCTGTGAGGTGTCCGAGAAGAGCCGGAAGAACCCAGAGGTGTTGAATTATTGTTGGTGCTGCTACTCAGCGAGTGACTATTTTTAGAAAGGGGAGTGATACGACTGTGGCTATTACTGTTGCTGGTGATTCGAGAGGAGAAAGATTGGTGATTGTGATTGATAAGGTGTTTTTGAAGTTGTTGAGTTATCTGCTGCTGTTGTTTTTTGGCTTCCCGACGCCGAGCTCGCTTGGCAATTTCTTTCATATGTTTTGGACCTGGACCCTGCTTACTGTCCAATACCTTCAAAGACAATTGAAATTAGTGAATGAGTAAATAAGCGCTGGAAGAAAAAATCGGCAATAGAAACATTCTGTTTATGATGCGGATGCAAAGTTCCAAATAATCATTCAGAATCAAAAAGCAACACATCCTACTGCCTATTTTATTTCCTTGAAACAACATTTAAATAAATGGACCAATTATCTTCTTTTTCCAGAACCTATTTTTAGAAGGCAATAATTACTCCTATAAACGTCGAGTAATTTAACTTTTTTCTTCATTTAAAAGAATAAATTTTAGTAAAGCGCTGGCATTCTACAGTAAAATTTTAATATGGTAGAAGGTGTACATTAGATAAAAGAAAAAAACAATGTAATTCTAAAAACATGAGGAGCGAGTGTTGGACCCACCAAAATTGATAATCTAAAGTATTTCCAAAAGAAACTGTTAATGAAAAATTATTGGAGGAAAGTAAATAAAATCTTACAACAAATTAGAAGCACAAACAGTAGAGGCATTTTCTTCCTCCTTGATGAAAAAAGGATTTCAAGACATGCATACGAAATTCCAATTTTGCGCATACTGTTGGCATATCGAAATAAGAGTTGAAATGGACACCAATATGTTCAGTGAAAAGAAAATAGATCTGCATGGTCATCATCAGCTACCCAAAAAGATCAGAAGTAAATACAAACACCTGCAACTTTTTAGTCAGAGCCCAAACATTGAATTTACTAACTGGGAAATCTTAAAAATTATGAGGAAAATTTGAGGATGCAGCAGTATAACTAAATGAAAAATGGTCAACGAAGATGACATTACTCTAATGGTCTAGTAAAGTTGGTCAGTTTTATGAACATCTTTTTCAGCTTTCAAGCGAATCGGAATCACTTTGTGAAAAAGTGAATCGCGAGAAAGCAAAATACTGGCCTTCGATTGTGAAATACAATTTCCAGATCAATTACCACTCGATCGCCATCAAAAGCGAAACTCTATCGCTTACATGGGGCTGGAAAAAAGGCTGCAATCTCAAGTGAAGCATTAATCATACCTTTTTGTATAAGGATCAAAACACCATAAAGAAAGCTATATCTCTCTCAGAGCAAATCATATATTTGGTGTGGAAAAAGTGTTTAAGGTGCACTAACAAATTATGGAGTCAATAATGTGGGCAAATATTGTAAAAGACCACGAAAAATTATCTTAATAGAGGGAAATTAAAGAGTTTAGAGAAATCATCAGCAAATGGACGATTGACAAAATCCCATTGGTCAATGCACCTGTCTTAATTACACCCATCCCTCTCCCAGATATAAATTTGGTTGAATTTTTGAAATGCCCATTTAAACGTAAACGTTAAATTGAACAAGGTCATTGTGCTTGCCTGGGCACCTACACTTAAGATATGATTTTGTTTCGCGTCTATTGCGCATACACACAGCTGGATCGCAGAATGGAAATGATTGATGACGAAAGAGATTTAGCCCACGAAAACACATGAGCCAACTTCAGGTGTTCAGATTTGATTTTGTTCTTTGCAGTCAACAAGCGCGTAATAATGAAAATGGCAATGAGTAAGAAAATACTTATAAGGACTTATAATTAATTTTAAACGTGGACTATAGGACTTTCCTATAGATAAACCAAGATCACATATAGGAAATATTTCGTAGTTCCATTAGTTTCATGGAAAATTGTCATTCATTGAAAAACAGATCAGTCGAGAAAACAACAAATGGAAAAAAAATTCAGTTTAATTGCCATAAAATAAGTTTTGAATGTATGTATTGGAAAAAAAGCAAGATAACAAACTAGACCATCGAGTTGGAAATTCAAAAGTTGCACCCTTATGGGCAAACGTAGGAAGAACTCGCACTTTCACAAAACTAGATTCCCAAATACTTGGGAAAATGTGCTTTCGACATTTATTTTTTAAATTAAGTATTAGCAGTCTAGAACCTTTATGATTTAAAATGGTCTATTTGATAGACCCCCCCCCCTCTCTTTCTATTGGAGCGGTTAGTCATTCTCAAAGTTGAAATTGCAATTATGAGAAGTTATCGGACTTCATGACGAATAAAAGCAGTCGTAGATAATTGTTCCTTTGTGATCAATCATCATTATAGAGACATTTTCGAGATACGAATGACAGAATGGACTAGGTCGTTTACCTAACCATCACCTAGGCGCCTTTTTCGTCTGGGATATGTCGCAACATTTAGCGATAGGACAATATATACTACTCATACAATTAAAGAGGAGATTATACGAAATAAAAATTCAAATAAAGTAAAATTTCACAGTCCAAGTATAGGAATGAAGGAGATGGACTAAATTGCTTCCTTACGTAACACAAGAGGACCTAAAGTGAAAGGAGGCATTTTGGAAGCAAAGGAAACCGCAAAAAACAGACTTTTTTGGCAAATATTCTTTTCAATTAAGACTGTCCCGGTTCAGGATTAATGAACAGTGGAAGGGGATATAAGGGAGGAGAAATCGAGTAAATACCTTAAATGTTTAATTAAGGACATTTTTTAGCAAGATAATTAAACAATAAAAGAAAGTTTAAAATTTAAAAATTGCACTAAAATGGAATAATTTCAAGGTGAGAGCTGTGCAAATATACAGAAAATAAAAAAGACGATGCAATAGAGCTCAATTTGAAAAAAATTCAAAGATCATGTGGCAATTGATGGCAAAATAAACAACAATAATAAACACCCACCCCAAGAAGAGATATGTTGATCAATTTAGTTTGAAGAAAAAGCAACAGCTAGTGATTTGCAGCATATTTTTAGACACCAGTAGCAACCAAATCTGCCACTTTACCTTCCGACCAAAGTTTATGCCAATTACTTCCAAAGCTACATATATCTTTGTTAAAAAGCATTACTACATCGATACATTTAATTTCGACTTTTCCTGCGAATCAAAAGCAGAGAAAGAAGAAGAGTAAATCAGCGCTCATGAGTCCACATTTAAATTATAGTTAAGCAGATTAGAAAGAAGTGAACCAATTCCAACATCGTCCGTATGCCAATGAAAAAAGCAAAGAACTCAAACAGTGGGTGCCTCCTAGTTACTACTCATGATAAGTCTTTTTTTACTTTGACAGTCCGAGGAGAATGAGAAGATTAGACGCAACATTGGGGAAAAGGTGGAACATTCTATTTGAAAAAGTGAAACACCGTTGAATGAATTGTCTCCATCGGGTTTAAACTTTTACATAATAAAAATATGTTGGCATAAATGCTATCCAAGGATGGTGTAATCTAGGTAAAATCTCTTCCACATTCCAAGATAATTTGTTCAAGCAATAAATTTCTGTTAATGCAGGTTTTATGAATGAATTTTGCGAAGAAATAACCAGCCAGACACACAGAAGTATTGGGGAAAAAACAGGGGAATGCAAGAATACCGCACAAAGCACGGCAATCGAATGAGACTAATGGAAGAAGGCGAAATGTTACCATTCCTCAAGTGAGTGGAAATGCAAACCGAACTGGTTGGATCTGTCTAACACACAGGATTGTAGAATAAATTTTCCCATCAGGAAGGCTCCATGATGCTACTCAGTACCCTCCATGAACATAGGGAATAATTTTACAAAGTGGCTTGGAAATTATTAGTAGTATTCAAGTTGGGGAAATGTTTTTACAATTTTTACTTCCATGACCAACTGTCTCCATTTCTCAGCCTCCCAAGGATACAATCACGTAAAAGATCATCGGGTAAATATGACTTTTGACACCTTAGGTCATGAGCTTATGTTGGAGGCAAAATTCACATAAGGTCAGCTGGACACCAACTAAAGTACATAAGTGTGACTTCACTAATGAGATAACCAATTTCGTCACCTGATAAAAAACATTTAAATTTATACTGAATAAAGAACTAACGTTTTTTAGATTTTTCTGCTATGTTCCACTATAATCATCCAGAGTGTGAAATAAAAAGTTGTAAACATCTTAATGGTTCTTGAATCCTCTTAAATTATCATTTAGTGGCCAGTCCTGTCTCTTTAAGTTCTCGAATTGGTAAAATTGAACAAATCTAATGGTTAGGCTCCACTTTTCCTAGGAATAAAGGATACAAACGACGTCTATTAAGACTGGTCTCATAATAGAAAATTGACCGCCTATAGAACAAAAACTTTAATACTTGGGTAACTGGCTCATTTCAGGCTTTTCAAAACCCCAACTGGCTTTATGCAAAGACTCATTGCGTTTAAAGTGAGGTCTTAATAAGAGAGAAATGCATAAAGTGTCATTTAACAGAAGTAAAGCAATAGGAACGTAGTCAAAAAGTGGAAGAATTTTGGGATTAAACTAAATAATTCGGCAGAAAGAGCAGTAATATGTACGCACATACTTATGTGCGTGTTGTTTATATTGGTAAATAAAACAGTCCTTATTATTAAATTTTAGCTATTCAGCTGGAATAGGTTATTTAAAATGAAAGTATATACTACTGATGAGAGGATGATAGGAAAATAGCATTTGACCAAGTCAGAGGAAGCAAAACATGTCGTGAATATATAGATGAATTGATAAGGGGACAAATGTTGACAACTATAATACGGAGACAAAGGGGCAAGAGTTGAGGATGCGTTCAAAACAAGCTCACTGTACACTTGGCTAAGGAGGGGAGAGGAGGGAACATAAACTCAGATTCACTAAATCTAAGCCACGTTTTTTCGAGAGGAACAGCTTATACGCTCGCAGAGTTTGAGTCTTGATAAAATTTTGGTGTCCCCCTTCAAAAAATTGAAGTTCATTCGGGTTAATTAATACTACTTTGACCAATATGTGTGTTTCGACCAAAGAGCTTTTAAAATTGGAAAAAATACTACTTATCAATTAAAGTAAGACAAGCACAGGAAGGTAAATCAAAGTAATCAAAAAGAATAAGTTTTATTTGATTTGTGTATCAAAATTAGATGGATACTTCGAGTAATTACTTACTAGGTTTCGATGGCCAATATAACACCATAATATATAAAATAAAATAATTAAAGCCCTGGTTTGAAGCAGTTTCAAAACAGTATCAACAAATTTAAAAAAAATAAAAATCGTAAGGTGATTCGTTAAAAACTGCTGCCTCTATCGCTACGAGTTATCTCTTGTGACCGCAGGACTATTTCAATCACTAATAGCTTGACCGCAATATGTTAATAGCATTGAACGCGTTAGAATCATTGGTCAAGTGCTTGAAAGTGCAATTCCGAGGATGAAAGAACTAAAAAAACCATGCCCAATTTTTCACAATCAGTTGATTTTAAATGAGTAGGCGAAATTTGATAAATGCAAAACAACTACCCGGCGTGCAAGGACATGGCATGATCGACTGCATTACATTTTCCAGGTAGCAATAATCCTAGAACATTTGATTTGAAAAGAGCAAAATCGATGAAACGAAAATAAAAAACGCGTTATTTTTAGTAATACACTGCATAATTGGAATAAATTTAAGTCTATAAAATGAACACATTCAAATTCGAAATTAAGTTGTCTTCGCGTAGCAAAAAAGGTCAAGATAGTGAATACAATCATCCAAGAGATTTCACATAATATATTCAAAGCTTCGACCCAGCAATAACATTCCTGAAGCGTCAACTTACATGTTGACTCCATGAATGATTTATAGGAAGCAAAAAATAGA